AGACACTGTGCTCTAACAGACACTGTGCTCTAACAGACACTGTGCTCTAACAGACAGATAAGTCCGTCTAGGGATGAGATAGAGCAGTTGACTGCTCTGGCAGAGGTTCATTGATTTGTGGTAAACTGAAAAAAATAATGGAACAATTTCCAAATAATGTTCCTCGATGCAAAACGGACTGAATATCCAATATTCTACAGTTCATAATGTCGTCACCAAAACACTTGAAGCATCTGTAGAAGTCTCTCCATGCAAAGGACAATCTGAAAGTCAGTATTGGATGGTTGTGGTCTTTAGGCCCTCAGGGGCCACCGCATTAAAAACAGGTCTGGTTCTGTTCTGGACATCACTGCATGGGTTCACAACGTCCCAACTGTTTTGGACGTTGGGCTATAAAATTCATAAGAATGATGAACAGTTTTACATGTTTGGATGTTTATTACAATTTTTGTATAATTTTACAGGAGCTTGCGTCTGAGCACAGACGAAACATTTGGACAAGAGAAGAACCTTCCATTCATCAACCCGAGCTCCCTTGAGACCCTGAGGGCCTTGGTGCAGGAGATCCAGAACAGCGGTGAGACAGACCCCGAGATTTGGAAAGACTGTGAGGTAAGCACCTCAGCAAAAACCCGAAAGACAAAACTTTACATGTGTGAAGCCGATCTGTTGTAAACTTTGATGGGATCCAGAGTTTGGAAACAGCTGCTGCTTTCTCCTGTGAGCGGACTGTTTTTCTGCAGATCAGGCAGACTTCCACACATTATAGACCCGTCATCCACAGCTGATCTGTTCAGACACGACCTGACGTGCACACCTTTTGTTGTGCACAAGTTTTTAGGCTTTCAGACTGGATCTCTGGAGAAATAACTTCTAAATTAGTAGTTGAACAGATCATTTCATATTTACTAGAGCCCAACCGGAAGGCTAATACCTATAACCGATATATTGGCTGAAAACTTTTGAGCTTTGCCCAGCCCCAAGAATCTAAGTAAAAGCTACTCTTAAACCTGTTTTAACACTTGAAGCCTTGAAATAGTCTTCCTAACGTGTGTTCACATTTTTATCCTCCACTATTCACCATAAAATTATCAAGTGTGTTAAAAAATATAAATTAAACGAAGAAATGCCCTTCCTGTTCGTTGTTTAAACTGGGGGTGTACTGATTGTGGTTTCTGGCCGATCACCGATTTCTAAAATGTCTGACCTGCCGATTCTGATTTTGGCCGTTGCCGATTTTGTTTTTATAAGCGACACCGTCAGGCGTTATAAGGTCACAATGCATCTTCAATTTTATAATTTTATTTTGTTGAAAAACAAACCATTGAACAACATCCTAGAAACAATACAAACTGGTTTTAACTGGCCATGAGGTAGAGCTCTGAAATATGAATGAAGTTCAGACAATTGTTGTTAAAACTACAAAAAATCAGTTTCTCGTGTAAGTATCGGCTGATCTCCCAAAATTAAGGAAATCGGGAGCGGTCGATTTATCAGTGCACCCCTAGTTTCAACAGTCACGTATGGTGAAGGTCTAATTAATGACCATTTGTAGAGAAGTAAAGATTTCAGACAAACCATGCATTTCAATGAGGCGACAAAGATGACGTTACTAACACTGATGTATTTTAACCTCTACGGTAGATTTATTGTTCTGGATAAAGTTTTACAAGACAATAGCCTATTATCTAAACGTTAGCTTGCTAACTTGAGAGGAACTTAGCTAATGACGAGCAGGTTGGAGGATTGAAGAGAATTTATTGTTGTTGATTTGTTTTACAGATCAGTTCAAATAAATTCACCATGCTCTGGTCAGTAAAATACTCTACACAGTGTTGCTCCCAGCTTCATCTGTGCTGAAAGTGAAACTTAAGTGAACGGCCATGACTTGAAAGTAGTCTCCATGTGCCCTCTGCTGGATTTTGCAGGGACGCTATCAGCAGTCAGTATCGTACCTGCAATAGATGCGAGGCAAATTCACAGTCTTTCCATTCAAGAACAATCTTCCATCATCAAAACCAGCTCCGATCAGAAAACATGGCAGTTCAAGGAAGTGCTGCCTTGTAGATTTTTATCCCCCGTCACAGAGCAAAGAGGGCGAAATGGAAATACAGTCTGTCCGTGCACGTTGTGAGCACGATAACTTGAAAAATGAGTGAGGTACCAGCTTCCATTTCAGTGTGTGGCTGCTTATAAAGGGTCACTTTAAAACTGTAACCAAGTAAAAGCAAAAACCTCCTTTCAGGCTCAGCTTGTAAGAGTTTTATTACTGTAGTCACATTCTACCTGGTGCTGTGTTTGAAAGTGATAACGCTGTAACCTTCAGAGACTTCTCTGTACCCACATGTTCACAGAACCAAACCGGAGTACTTTTAAAGGTACTTCTACGTGTTTGTTCCCTTCGTTCAGTGCTTTCAGTCCAGGGGGGTATTCTACAACGTGAGCTGTGGTGTGTGACTCATACGGGACATGACGTTGTTTTTATTCTTCCTGCTGCAGGATCGATGGTTGCATCTGTTTCAGCTGGTTGAAAAGCAATATCAAGAGCAGATAGTGGCTCAGCAAGAACAATATCAGTGCCAAATCCAGGTAAATTGGTCACCATTAACTTCACCAGACTCTCCCACTGGTACATCTGCATCTTTAAATCACTTCCTGGTCTGCTGCCTTCATACATCTCCTCCTACATGTCTCTGTGTGAGTGCAGCTACAGCGTGCGCTCTCAGGACATTATTACCTGCAGTGTCCCCTCAGTGAGGACTGAACTAGACAAAAGGACCTTCTCCTCCTCTGCTCCTGTTTCCTGGAATATCTTGTAAAAAGATCTGAAGCTCTCGACCTTTGACCTCTCTAAGTGTCTTTAAGAATCTGTTGGACTCCTGGCAGGGTCCAATGCAGACATGTTCCTGTTTTTAGTATATCGCTTTATAATCTAGCTGTTTTTGTTTAGTTTTTTAAAACCATTTTATTTAACTTGTTCTTCTCAGTTTGTGTGTTTTTATGATTGTCCACTGTCGTCATCACTCTTTGTTTAAACCAGGTCTGTAAACGAGTCCCCGAGACTCCATGGGATTAACCTGCAGAAATAAAGGTTGAATGAATGACACTTCATGTCACCTGGTGGAGCTGCAACTTTATTTGGTGTTTGATCAATCAGTGGTTTTATTGATCATTTAGTCCAGGATTATTGAATCAGTCTCTGCTTCCTGTGGGTGCACCTCACCTGCTTTAATCTCTGTTAATCTCACTATGACGTCGTGGCAAACGGCAGAGATGATGCTCGTCTCCGATGGTTTGGTCTCACGTTGCAGTTTTCAGAAACTTCCCAAACATCTGAACAGTTTATGAACAGCTCCGTGCACGACGTGCGTTACATCAGTGTGTTGGTTAACTGTTGCAGCCCTGTCGCCTGTAAAGTGTTTTTCTTTAATCTTTGTTTTTCAGTTGATTCAGGATGAAATTAAGGCTCTTGTTCAGCTCCAGAACCGTCAGACTAATGTCCCCCCACAGCCGGATTTCGCTCCAACTTCAGTGACCGAAACCACAAACACACGGGACAAAGTTTTCCCCATCATTCCCAGCAACGGTACCGTTCTCAAAAATGTACCTTGTGACAACGACAGCCTGGCGGCCCCCGTCTGTGCTCCTGTTGGCTCCCCTTCACCTCCACCTGCCAGGTCAGGGAGCGTCAACCAGGGGGGTGAGAGGGCCACCACGGTGCTCAGCAGTGGATATGGAACCCTGTCTGCCTGGGAAACTGGTCTGGACCCTGCTGGTCTGGATCCTGCTGGGTCTCCAAGGGGAGACTGGGAGGACGATCAAGGAAAGGAGAAGCATCAGTGGGCCAATAAATCCGCTGTGGTTGGGTACCAGCAGAACCTTTTCAGTCGAGTGGATGAACCAGAACCGTCAGTGAACCAGCAGGAAGCCTCAGGGTAGGTCCAAACACTTTCACTTCCTCCAGCGTGGAAAGTGTTGATCTGCGTCTTCGCTCCGCCCGAGTTCGTTGTTATGGCTTGTTGTACAGGATCGAGGAAGGAAAAACTAAGTTACACTAAAAATAGGACAGAGTCGCTATTTCAAGTTCACACGTATATTTAATAGATAATAGTCACAAGATACATTTTTAGGAATACAATTTTGGTTAGTAATTATTGCAAAAATAAAATAAAAGTGATGAAGTAAATGGATTGAATGAATTCGCATTCATTCTGACCAATACGACCTGCACAGTTGTTCAGCTCGTGCTGCATGGTTCTGATTCTGCCCTGGGCGGTTCTGTTTCTCTCCCGAGGGGGGAGATGCTCCATGCTTTTATAACCTGGCTGTGGTTCTGCCCCGTTTGGAGCAACACAGAACTTACAACCTCCCCCAAAATGTTCCTTTGTCTAACTTTCACAGTTTCTCTTCTAAGTGTTGTTGGAGTTTCATATTTTCCTATGAAACATATCAATGTCGCTTTTATTAAATGTGCATGTCTTTCTTCAACTATATAATCACAACTTTTATCTAATTAAAAATGTTCATCCTAGATACTTACTTTATATATATGAAAACTGAAGCAAACTTCACCAGAGTGTTAAACCATGTTTAATGCAGACAATAAAACTCACTAAATAACTCTTGACTGCAGCATCCTATTGAACAGTTTCAGATAATCAGAACAAAGAAAGTTCAATCTGTCCTATTCCTCAAAATACACTAACTACTCCTTGCAACCTCTAATTTTCATACTAATACATCAGAAATATTAAACTAACATTAGATTGCAAAGTATTAGTTATTTTAATCTAACAATTAGACTAAACATTGATCAGAACATCATCCCTGCCTCAACAGGCTTTAAGGAAAACTCTTCATGTTTGTATATGAGGTCAAGCTGTCATATAACTTATAATCTGGAATGTATCCATTAGTCCTGGCCGGCCGTAAAACCTCGTATCCATAGCAACGCAGCTTTCTAAACCAATCAGAGGGTGAGACCTCTTGTAACATCAACAAGAAAGTTCTGTTCACCTCCCCCTATCGTGCTGTTTTCTGCTGAGTTTAAACAAAGGAACTGATGACAGAAAATGCCTGTCCTCTTCAGCCTTACACAGACTTTGTTGAATAGTAAATAAGTTTCACCAATACATAAAACTAAAGAATTAAGCACACAAATATATTTTATTTCACAACAAAAGCTACACCCGAGTCACGCTTCACCACGTACGTCGCTACGACACAGTTTAAGACAAGAATGAAAAAAAGAAATGCAAATACCATTTTATTTACTTAAGTTTTAGATTAGATAAAATTATCTTGATCACCTGGTTAGATTTCTTCAGGGAAATTAAATGTTTCAAATATTCTTATACAGTAGTCCCTCGTTTATCACGGGGATCCGTATCCGGAACCCCGTGATAAGTGAAAAACCACAAAGTAGGAGTAGTAGTACAAGTAGTAAGTAGTAGT